TGAAAGCCACGAGGACTCCACGCAAGCACAGCAGGCCATTTAAAGAGAGGTCTGAAATGTGCTCTAATAAACTGTGGTCATAATTAGACCCCACTGGGAAAACCTGGCAAAGTTCAGAATGTTTTTTCTCTCCTTTTTCTGTTTTACTCTGATGTGATCTAATGGAGATGCTGCATTTCATGGAAATATCCTTTTTTGAAGATTATACATTGGTGCTAAATCACAGGCGGGAACAGTGCTGGGTGCTAGCAGGGCAGACAATATTCAGAAACAACACTGCCAAACCAAAATAACTTTTGCTTCTAATTATCATTTAAAAAATCCCAAAACAATTAAGGATGTTTCGATGTTTAGAGTTTCACTTACTCCCAAGCTGTATGCTAATGCAGCAATGAGTCGACTGCACAGCTTCCCGATTGTTGAAAGTCTACAAACCTGGTAATATTAAACTAGAATTTGTAGGAAGTAGCAGGGAAGGCATAATAAATAGGTAAAAAGAGAAAACAAAGCAACTCTGGAGAGCTTCAGAGAGATGAGATACTTGTTTTAATTACATAGTCTCCAGCATCTCAGATCGGGGAGGAAAAAGGGTCACTCTGTAATCACTTCAAAATTTTGTGGAAATTGTGAGAAAAGCTTGAGAAGTGTTCATTCATTTTGTAGTTGATCTCTTAAGCTATTTAGATGCAAAAATATTATTTGGAAGATTATCAGATGCAGGAGTTAGAAGTTTTGCTTTGTGCTTTACAAAGTGTTGGCTGGATATTTGCTGTTCTTTCAATACTCCCTGAAGTACTGTTGAAGTCTTACTTTCCTTACCTTCTACTGATTCATCCCAGCCCTACAGCACATAGCCTTGCCTCTCAATTGTGCCTCTTTGGTGTTGTCAGTTCACACTGCCATTCACCTACACAAACACAAAGAAACTCTGGGAGTGCACTACCTCAACTTCAGCTTCTTCCAGTAAGAAAGGAGGATTGTGCTACATCTTAATAACCAAGCAGTAGCTGAGAATTATCTTAGTATTTTAGAAGACAGAGCCATGACAGCAGCACAGCCAATATCCAGGAGACATAAATATAACAATGATTTTATTGTTAAATAATGTGTCACACTGTATACTGCAGGATTTTACATTTTTACCAGCTCAAGTTTCATCCCTTTGCATATATGAAGAGAAATGTAAGTTTAAAATTCTCTGACTTAACATATGTATGCACTCAGAGCCCTCTCTGCTTAGTGTTACTTTGTAGAATTACCACCTTCTAGTCCTCGTTCCTTTTAGCCCTTCACAGCCAGCATAACTGTGCAGGAGAGAACAGGAATCTGCCCTGGCTCAGCAACTGCTGACAGCCTCACAGCAACATGCCAGACTCAGGACCAGGCTCTCCCCTTGTGGAATCCCACCTGAAAGACAGAGATCACCAAATTAGGCAATTATTTGCTTACATTTTCTAGAATTGTCTTTGGGAAGATGTATTTCCCAATATTTTATTTCTTGCTCAGAAGTGTCAACTGGTCAGAATAACATTCATGATTCATGCATGCAAGTGTCCTGATGGCATTCTCAGCCTTTCATGGGACAAAAATGGTAACACAGCAAAGTTAAGCAATTCAAACATTAATTTCTAAATGCTTGCATCTGCAAAACTCAAAACTCAAGAAATGAATGGACATCAAGGTGTCACTATCTGGCATGTTTTGATATTAGTCACAGACTTATGTGTAGTGACGAACAGAAATTGTCACTTGCTTTACATCTAGTTAATATGTTCAGCAGTACATGTCACCTTCTGATGCGAGTCAGTTGACATCTGTCACTTATGGGTACATTTCTTAGTGTAGTGGCCAAAGAACTAATAAAATGTCGAGATTACAAGAGACTGAAAGCTAAGGAGCATTTAAACTGTGCACCTTTTCCTTCTGACACCCAGGGCCAAGTAAATTTTTCATAAATGGAGTAAAAGCTATGACTCCTGAAAGTGTGGGCAGACAATTTGTTTCCTCTGGAGGCAAAGTCAGTGTGTTTCCTTTTCACAGCCTTACAGTACAATTCACTACCAGCACATGCTATTTTTAACCTGCATCGTTTCAGTGACCTAATTCGTACGTTGCCTCATGAACCCTTTCAAAACAGAAAGGGTGGCAGAATAAGATACAGGGGTGGGAGTGGGTGAGCAGGGAATGAGTCCTGGTTTTCAGAATATTTCTAAAGTGAAAATAAGGAAAGAGAAAGAGAGAAATCTAAGCTTTCAGATTCTTTCTTAATTGGTATAAAAGAGGCTGGGGAGCATCAAACATAATTTAACTTGTAAGTATTTTAAATAATTAAAAATGTGCCTCACTTTTCAGAATAAAATTGCATTTTCAGTCAAAGTCAGAAATGTATAAATAAAAGTGAAATATGCTGAATATATTCAAAT